GTTTATATCCGAAATTAGCTCATGTTTACAAACACGCTTAAAATGAAACGTATATTCAACTTGTATTTTACATAATGGATGAAGTGGACTATATCTATATTGTAAGTCAATGTTCTTTGTGAGCATTCTAGAATGATAAGTACTAGCAAGTTTCGGTGTTTGGAAAATAATTTAAAAGGCATGCGAACTCTGTAAAGTCTAAAGTAGTTTTGAAATTATTTTGTTGTGTTGGCGACAGCTAACTGTTTACTTGTTACGGGAACAGATCTGTGATGTGAAGGTTCGTTGCTATTTTGGTTTCAATCCATTTCAGGTTAGAAAGGGTGAATCGTCTGGTAATTTACCTACCCACTATAGCACTGCCACAATAGGAGTGATCTGGGGTCATGGCCTGTATGACCCTACATATCCTCCTACTCACAGATGAAGAACAGAAGAAGCGGCGCGCGCCAACAGATAGAGGACAGATGAAGAACAGATGAAGAGTAACAGATGAAGAACAGATGAAGAGGAACAGAAACAGATGAAGAACAGATGAAGAGGAACAGATGAAGAACAGATGAAGAGGAACAGATGAAGATGTAGGGCGAATCCTCCACCCATTTTTGGTAAGTTGATCTTACACACTTTTTTAGACTGATTGTAGCTCATTTAGTTGCAGTTTTGAAATCTTGACGTAAAGGTTACAAATCTAACAAATGGTACTAAATGGAATCCTTAAAATATTGTTTAGTAAAATCTCAAATTTCAAACATTGTGAGGACTGTACTTCATTCTTTAGAGTGTTGGAATCTTGACTTCATTGGTTTTCCTTCAAACAAATGATGGCTATTGGTTGTATTTTAAAATGGCAAAAACAATACTGATGATTTTTAAGAATTGATTCTAGTCAAACTTTCTGTAAATATGATGTTGACAAGATCTTCAAGAACCTGAGTTGTTATTCTTGAAAAAATAGTCTTGACTTTTGTATTTTCTTAAAGATCTATCACACCGAGACTACTGTTTCTGTCTGATTTTCACAAAACTTGGACAGGTTGGATTTGGTGGTTTTGATGATTTGTATAGAAGTAGCCATTGCCACTCGCCAAGCTTATTCCTTTCTGTAAATATGAATATACAGTGAGGTTTGACTAAGTACCAGTAAGTTGACAAGATTTTCAAGAACCTGTAAACATAAAATGAACAACATCAATAATAACTAAACATTTAAAATATAAACTTTAGAGTTTTTGTTGTTTGGAGTGTCCTATATAAATGTTAATCATTTCGATATCGGAGAGGTCTTTTCGATTACGCTTAGGTCGTTGATACGAATTGAAAGTTTTAATACTTTCATCACTTGAATCATCATGATCAATATTTGATTGATTTGAAACACTATCAGGATTTATATTCTGATTTGGCACAATAGTATGATAATTTCCGAATATAGCACTATGATCATTTTGATTTGGCACTTTATAAGATATATCATCAAATACATTTTTATTTGATGTTTCACTTTTGATTTCCCGATTACGATCACTTTCGTAATACTTCTTAATATGTGTAACATTTCGCTTATAACGCACATAGGGTTTCTCTACAGTTTCCACAATTACACTATTTCCAAATTTGTGAATAACTTTGAATATTTTAGGATTAAATTTTGTTGAGAACTTATTATGATGATCTTGTTTCACTAAAACTTTATCACCTATTGAAATACTATTATTATTTCCTTCCTTTTTCCTTATGTTCGCTATCTCTATCTCTAACTTCATAATCTTCTTTCGCAAATTCTTGTAATTCTGGCAGTTTTGTTCGCATCTTTCTCCCATATAATAATTCAGCTGGACTCTTTCCTG